GAGTTTAGGACCCAGATTACTCCCAGATTTAAGAGCATCTTAGTCCGACAAATACGACAATAACGACGGCCGCTTGCATGTTCTGCAAAAAAATGTGCTTTGTTGTGTATCTGACGGACAAACACCAAACCAGTTCCACATCATTGAAGTTGCACCATTTTTACAAACCAATTCTGGTTCATCTATTTCACTCAACAATCGGCCATGTGCGTATGAAAACAAAGGCACTGCGCATGCGCGTTTTACTCCCATTCTATCGCGATATTTCATTTTCCTATCGTTGCCTAACATTATACCGGTATTACCGTGAACGGTATAATATGGCCCAGCCCTAATTAGGAGCAACAATAGAGAAGGCCCTATCCCCTCTGAGCTTTCTCTTGGACCTGGGTACCTCCAGGAGCAGCTTGTCAGCTGACCTGAGAGACCTGGGGGGTGAGTAAGGATGCAGAAGCTCAGAGAGGTAAGTTGGGGCAAGACCATTTAAACATTTAAGCACAAACATGAGAATTTTAAAATGAACTCTAAGATATACAGGCAGCCAATGGAGTGAAGGTGAGGTGAGAGGTCCCCCCGGTATACCTGACCTCAGACCCCAGCTTCAGTACCAGCCAGTCAGAGGTCAGCAGACAGGTGTGCATGCTCTGTGTCTGACTCACCTTGAGGCTGCAGCCGAGCTCGAACTCAGCGAGGATGAATTTGGCGCCTGAATCCAGCTCACAGCTCCACTCTGACCTCACGGTGTCTCTGAAGTCCTACAGAAGGTCCATGAGCTCCTCAGACCTTTGCTGGACCAGCCGGGACTCACCTGAGTCAGCACACCTGAACAGGACACAGCTGTTACCTGCCGAGTCCAGCGGCCAGGACAAATGCAGAGTTCATCCAAAGGTCACCAGCAGTCAGCATCTAAGTCACAAACTCTACTATCCTGGAGAGCCCAACCTTTCCATCTTTTAATAACAGCTGTAAGGTTTACACCAAACACAGGAAGGAGGAGGAGGAGCCTGAGTGTGCTGTGTGCGTGTGAGTCTGTGTGTCAGCCTTACAGGTGCGGTAGCCCTCCATGGCACACAGGGCTCGGAGGCGGAGCTGCTGAGTCCAGCTGAGTTGGGCAGCGGCGGTTGGGCTGACTCTGCTGTCTCCGCCTCCTTCCTCTGACGGTAGAACAGCAGCTTGGTCTGATCCAGATCTATTAGAACCAGCTTCACCAGCCACGCCAGGTGAGGGCGCAGGTGGTGCTGGATCAGGGGGCGGTCCAGGACAAAACCAAACATGTTCACCAGCTGCAACACAGAACCAGATCAGACTGGAGCAGTCCTTTACCGTGGACAGCGGCTCCCCGCAGTCCTCCGGGGCCTGGCTAAGCACAGACACCAGCCGCCAGTCCAGGTCAGACACCTGCAGCTGGAACTGATCCAGGTGGAGCTGAAAGCTCTGAAGGGGAGGAGTCACAGCGATGCAGGAAGCACCTCACGATAGCAGGCCGAACCCAGCTGGTCCTCGGGGTCGGCGGGGTTGCACCTGAGGTTGGACAGGTGCGTCATGTGACCCAGGAAGTCCTGGTAAGCCTCCTGAACCACGTCGGTCCACTTCCTGCCTCTGACCACGCCCAGGACTGTCTCATTCAGCACGTACAGCTGCAGACTGGAGCAGAACACTTCCTGTTAGAAAGGGCAGGCATTAATCAGCAGGAAGTGATGTCACATGTCACAAGTGTTTAGTCTGAATGTCTCTCTGCATCCCAGCATGCACTGCTCTGAAGGACACAGGGCATCGGTATGAGCAGGTGTGATGATGAGTTCAGGTGATTACGGCAGCGCTAACATTATGACTTGCAGGTTTCGGACTCATTGGCTGTTTGTTGTAGGTGGATGTCAGTGCCACGACCTTCTCTGTGCTGGACCCAACGACCAGAGCTGATGTGAGGAGGTCTGGGACATGACCAATAGGGGGCGCACTCGCACAGCGCAATCTTGGAGGAGATCGCGTCAAACCGAATCGTGCGACACGTGACACGAGCAGCGGCGTGAACCTTTGACATGCTTTACTTTTGTCTGATTAGCCACATGAAAATCCAAGATGGTGGCCATTTTTCAGGACTGCTGCTGGATGACGTGAAGGTTCCTTAGTTGGTGCTTCCAAAGAGACCAATCCTGATGCAGGAATCCAGACACTAGCTCCGCCCACTCCACCACCGTGCTGTCACAGTCATGGAGATTATAGTCTGACAGCTTCCTGATAGCAGCCATGACTTCCTGTCAGCAGAGGTTTGTCTGTGCACACACACACCTGTGTGTGACTAGTACTGTAAAGTAAGTAAAGCACTATACAAATACAGGCCATTTACCATTTTACTGGTCACACATCGCTGTCGGGCCGTCACCTGTGTCGAGGTCCAGGCTGATGCTGATGAGCGTGAAGCTCCCGATTGGCTCCAGCTGCCCGTCTACTTTGACCTCCATGTGTGCGTCTGTCTGTTTTGCAACCGGGTGATGATGATGATGGTGGTGGTGGAAGTTCTGACACCTGCCACCAAGGACCGCTCCGTACATCGTAAAGCATAAATTCATTAACAGAGTTTGATCCCATGTGTCCGAGTAAACAAACATGAACGATTACCAATCAAATCAGCCAGGAAGAACATCCACGAGGGAAAATACGACCTCGTTAACATACCACTCCAGCCTTTCAACATCATGAAAAAACATTTGACATCATTTTTCAGAAACATCGGAGCTTAAAAAGATTTTTATCAGACTTACACATTTCATATTTTCACACATTTTCAAAAGCAAGTGGTTCATGAACGCTGAATGACACGGCCGCTAATGAGCTGGCGTGAGGCTGTCCACCCTCCGGCACATAAACAGTCATGTTACCAAATCACAACAGTAAAGGTAATGCATTATAATCTGATTGAAATGATCTGTGACAAACAGAGGGCTTCACTGTTTCAGTAACAGCATGCACCTCCATCAGACAGTTGAGCTGTTTAAGAGAAACACTGACAGAGGCAGTAATCATGGCAGCTCTGAGCTCAAGATCCACGAAGCTGGGGTCTGTCAGACCGGGCAAGACCACAGGTGCAGGGATGGAGACGCCCCCCGGGTGGTAGTTAGCTAAGATCCTGTGGGACTTCCAGATACAGACAGACAAGCTGGTGATGGCTAACCAACCGGACGTAGTGGTGGTGGAGAAGCACAGGAAGACGGCTGTAGTGATACCAACATCAGGAAGAAGGAATATGAGAAGCTGCAGAAGAACCAAGTGCTCAGAGAAGAGCTGGAGGGTGAAGGTAGCAATGGTCCCAGTGTGGTGACTCCTGAGCCAGGTGAGTGGCTCCAGCAGATCGCAGGAACAACATCGGAGATCTCTGTCCAGAAGAGCGCAGTCCTAGGAACAGCTGAGATACTGCAGGACCCTCAGGCTCCCTGGCCTCTGGTAGAGGACACGAGCTTGAAGCCTGCTGGGCGAGAGCGGATCAATACTTTGTTTATACTTTATTATTACTTCAGTCTTTATGTTAATCAATTAATTGATGTTCTTTTTTTAATCTATACCCAAATTATATTCTTGTTTTTTACTTATTCCTTCTGTTATCTATTATGAGTACCTGCGTCCCCCGGGGTGCAGTATCACTTTCTTCCACCGGATGGAGCCAGATCGTCCTTTAGCTCAGGCCTACCAAGAGCTGGCGGTAGTTCACTGAAGTGCGACGAGCCGAATGTGTTCAAACAGAAGTCACATTTACAGCCCTGTGTGCTCGCCGTCGCTCCACGGCAGCAATAACAGCCACACTGAACGACATGAACCGAAATAACACAACATGTTACAAAGATAGTGCGAATATATACCAACAGCTCAACTATAAATATGCAGAATATCACAGAGGTGCATTGTGGGTAATCCCAGTCTGTCTGAATGGGAAAATCAATTCCTCGATTGGACTTTCACACCAACACAAAGGTGACATCACGAAACAACTATTTCCTTTTTTAATTACTCCGACTGTTAAGGATTCTCTGACAGCCGCCGATCGGTCGCTCGTGGCGGGATTTTTAACCAAACGGAAGCGTTAACAACACCAAATGGTTCCTGCCTTTCCATTTGAGCCGCCTCGGTTCTCTTTATCCAGTCGATGGTCTTTGTCGGCACCAGTTTGTTGGTTCTTTCATGAGAGAAGACACGATCTTCTGTTAAACCTATTAAGCTGTTAAAGGTTGGAGTGTCTGTTCCTCAGCTCAGCAGGGACAAAGAGCGCCACCCCCAGGCTGTAAGCAATCTTAATGTGATTGGTTAACTGGGTCAAACTGGGTCTCGGCTCATCTCCGCCCCCTGTGGCCATATGAAGACCACTCTTCCCACTTCACCATGGCAACTGTCTCTTGTCCTCCAGTCAGCCCCGCAGAGAGGGAGAGAGAGCACCTACACCTACTTCACTACAAAGCAGGCAAGGAATTACAAACCCCTCATCATCAGTGGCACGCCAGTGGAGAGAGTGGACAGTTTCCGATACCTGGGTGTCCACATCACTCGGGCCCTATCATGGTCCTGCCACATCAACACCCTGGTTAAGAAAGCCCGTCAGCGTCTCTTCTTCCTCAGAAGACTTAGAGACTTCCATCTGCCACTGAAGGTGCTCAAGAACTTCTACTGCTGCACCATCGAGAGCATCCTGACGGCAAACATCTGCACCTGGTTTGGGAACAGCACCAAGCAGGACAGACGAGATCTGCAAAGGGTGGTGCGCTCGGCAGAACGCATCATTCAATCAGAGCTCCCTGACCTGCTGTCCATCTACACCAAGCGGTGCAAGTCCAAAGCTAGGAAGACTATGATGGACCTCTCCCATCCCAACAATGGACTCTTCTCACTGTTGAGGTCTGGGAAGCGCTTCCGCTCCCTTAAGGCCAAAACAGAGAGAATGAGGAGGAGCTTCTTCCCCCAGGCTATTCGGGCCCTGAACCAGGTGTAGGACTGGACTCTCCCAAACACGTCACTATAAGACTGGACTCTCACACACATCACCACACGCACCACCACACATTTCCTATAATCCTATAATTCCTATAATTTATAATCCTTATCTTTATAATCTCTTCTGCTATTTGCACATTCTTTACTGTAAATTCTTAAGTTAATTTGTAAATTTTTGTAGTAAATTGTAAATATTGTAAAACTTTTCTTCTGTCATTTAATGGTCGGGCATTGTACAGCTACAAGCATTTCACCCCCATGTCACACTGTGTATGGTTGTGTGTGTGTGACAAATAAAATTTGAATTTGAATTTGAATACACCTGGAGGTGCAGCTTTATTTTGGTGGACCCAGTGTGCTCCACCTCCGCGGTGTGCGGTAGGGCTCCGTCAGCACTGGTGTAAGAACAAGATAGAAATGTGTGATTTCAATTGTGAGGGAGAAATTAAAAATACTGAGGTGAAAGAGCAAAAACAGGTTGCAACATGAGCTCCTGCATCTCTGTCCAGTCTGTTCTTTGGTGTGCGAACTCAAGCTTCAATAATCAGTCTTTGCTGCAGCTCGTCTGATAAAATGACTGAGGTGGAGGAAACAGTGGTGCTGCGATGCTTGCTGCATGGACCAGAGACACTGAGATTCCAGGTGAGACGTGCCAGTACCCACGGCACAGTCCCTTTCAACAGCAGGCTGCATGTTTGCTCATTCAGACTTGGGACAGACTGCAAAGGGTCTGCAAATACAGTCCCCATCAGAAGTTCACGACCACCTGAAAAATCACCAAAAGCCATATTTGCATGGTTGGATCTTTGCGAGGTTCCAAAAACAAGGTTCAAAGGTGTTTTGTCTCACTCCCATTTCTTCTTGTTGCAGGTTGAACCTCGACTTGGAACTTTGTTAAGATCCAAACATGCAAAATATGATTTTTGGTGGTCTTAAACTTTTGATCGTACATTCTGGGTGAAGGCGACAGTAAGCAGACCTCCATGTTGGATCGAACAGTGGCCCATGCTGTCTCACCTGAGAAGGGTTAATGAGGCCTTGCTGTGGAGCCACTCGTGCTTCTGTGGACATTCAGTTTGGGGAAAGTGTCCACGCTGTGGATTTTAACGACAGAGGAACGTTAGTCGTAGTCTAAGGAGCTCAGAAAGAAAAGCGTCTGGACTTCTTTAAGTTTCTTAAAGACGTTTCATCCGAGAAACTTCTTCAGTTCTACGAGCGACTGGTAGAGACCCTCCAATCTAAATCATTTCAGGCCAGTTTCAAATCTGCCTTCATGGCCAAAATTCTTTAAAAGATGGTGGCTGCACAGGTTCATGGACACCTCACTGGAAATAACTAACGAACAGTTTCACTCTGGCTCCCGTTCTTCTCACAGGAACAGCTCAGGTAAAAGTCCCCAATGATCTTCTGCTTGCAGCTGACTCTGGACTCATCCCCATGCTCATCCTTGACCTTGCAGCAGCATCTATTGGCATCAATGTCACAGCACTCGCCTGGTTTACCTCTTATCTGAATTGTTATTATTATAAGAGAGAGACCACATCAGAGAGCGCTATGGTTTCATCTGGATCTTGTCAGTGAGGTTGGTGGAGTTGATGCAGTGTTTTCCCCACGGTGGGTGCTGGGATGGTGGGAAGGTGTTTGGAAATGTTGTAAGTGGCTGAGTTTATGCTGCTAACAGAGGCTGTGTCCCGATTCAGGGTCTGCAGCCTTAAAGGCCGCATTTTAAGGCCGATTATGTCACAGCGACGCGATGAAGGCTGTCCCAATTCAAAGCTCGAAATGCGGCCCTCAAACGCGTCCTTCATCTCCCTGCATTTTAAGGACGTGGCGGTGTAGACTTCGTTAATATGTGTGCACGCCATATAAACACTGGCAGGTGTGATGGAAAAACAACTTTAATAAAGAAACAATATTGAACAATGAGTATAATAAAGGAGTGACTGCAAAGTAAAGTGAATCGCCTGGTGGTGAGGTGTGGAGCTTGCCATGTGTGGCAAACCTCAGAAACAAAACTACACAGCAGAAAAACAAACTTGTTTTACTTTGTCGATGTGCAGGGACGAAGCAGCGACAGGCTTTAAAAGGTTTCCGGTGTGGCTTACAGGATTTCCAGTGACTGAATATTTTCACATTTTTGTCATCCATCAATTTTATCACCTATGCAAGTTGTCATGGAAACTGAGGAGCAGCCACTGATCAATGATCTCTGATCAACGATGTTGCTTCAGTGCTGCTGCCCTAACGACAGCTCCAGGCGGCTTCGCGGCGTTCTCTCTGATCAAGTTTCAGCGTCATCGTGACGATCTCACGCCGTCATCGATCGCAGAGCCTCGGTGAACACATCGGTCCTTCCAGCTGATGCAGCATTTACCTGCAGGAGGGGTCTGACACAGTGAGCAGCGAACAGTCATCCATCAGTGCTGACGGTCTCCACTGAACACGAGCACAGTGATGCTTTTCTTCAGTGGCTCCGCCCACACACCGAAGGATGAGTTTCGAGCAGCTTTTGTGGCGATCGGCCGTGAGAGAGGCAGCGCTCCCTCCTCGGGTCCCTCACACTCAGCTGCATTTCAGCACTTTCACCTGTGCAGCCAGTCACCGCCCACTTTCAGACAGGCACCGATACAGGCGTGGTGCTCGGACACCCCGGCTGTGGTTTGGCTTTTGGAGTCTAGTAGAGACGCTTTATTAGAGACCAGTGAAAACTAGCACTCATCCTTTTAATGGTGGCAGCTCTGAGTCACACAGGTAATGTGTCACATGATCTTCTGCCATTTTTAGTAAAGGAATATGATTCAGGCAGCTACCAGGGCCTGGCTGAAACATGTAATGTGACCGGACTGTGGTGGTGTTTGTTAACGTCAGAGACAAAACTGTGGATTTATCTCAGTGGGTGAGGTGCTGTGACGTGGATGAGAGCTTATCTGCGAGTGTGTTTGTGGGTTTCAGATGAAGAGCATCATCAGTGCGTGCCTTTGTCTTCTGGTCTGTGTTCGATGTCTACAGCAGGCGGCCGGCTCGTCTGAAGAGCGTCCAAAACTCTGCAGTCACACCGCTGACTCGCTCAAACAGAGGAGCTCAGTAACTCCTGTCATCAGCCGCTACGCTGGCTGCCGACCGTCTGTGTGGGTGTGAAGTGGTCAGACTCAGCGTCCAGGAGGGCGGTAGGGAAGCAGACATTTCAGGTTTACAGTGGACCCTATCATACGTGAAACTCAACAAAACTTCCACCCAAAGTAACAAAACTCAAAAGGATTTGGTGACACAGCTCACCTCTGCTCTCTCACCTGACTCTGGCAGAGACTGACTGTATACAGGGCCAATTAATCTCCCTTCAATTAGTCCGGCAAGCTGAGGGACCTAAACCTCTACGCAGATGACTGAAAATGGCAAAAACCTCACACATTTACACAAACGGCTCTATTTATGAAAAAAGAGACCTTGACACAAACAAAAGGAAGGATGTCTGTAGTAGAAGAAACCCCTCCTCTTGATGTCACGTCTGACATCAGCCTCTCCTCACACCTGACTCTCATGAATACTGAAAGAAAGAACAAAGTATAAACAAATCTGTAACAACGAAACAGCAGCGACAGACTGCTCACACAAACAAACCCGGGACAGTTACTGTGACGAATCACAGCAAACACAGAGACAGAGGGGTGTGCAAAAGCAAGTGGGCACACCTGGGACGAGTGGAGAGCATCCACAGGGTTTGAACACTTCTGTTTGGACTGCTTCATACCTGAATGAAGGCTGGGACCACTCGCTCACAGGAACGTTTCATTCATGCAATTCATTCTTTTTCATTTTAAGTTTCTAACTTGATGTTCGAGTAATGATCTATCATACGTATCAGCTACAGTAAAGGTTGTACTGCACGTGCAGTCAGCAATGCATTTCACATCGTTCCATAATCGTACATACGTAACCATTTCTGCTAAGCAAGAAGAGACTTCCAGCTCTACGTGCATCATGTCTGCCTGCTGCTTGTGTCTGTTCCACCCTGCTGTGATCCTGGGCTGTGTTATGGGATGTTGTCTGCAGCTGATAAAGCCTGTTTGATGTGTTATAAATCAAGTGTTTTATGATCTTGTGGGACGGACTGTAACGTGATTTAAGGCCTGTGTGTGATTGTTGATGTTCATGCACAGGCTGCTGCACCCGAGGCCTCGCTGTTTCACGCGCTGCTCGGTGTGGGCGTTTCTGTGGTCGATGCCAGCGTGGGCATGCTCCTGCACAGCTCCCTGCTCACAGTTTCTCTTTTTCACAAAGCGCCGTCGTGCCGACAGTTAAAGACGAGGCTTGTTCACATGGGCAGAGGTGGGGCTCTATGCGGCCTCTCACCGACAACACGAAGGCAAAGACAGGACAGGACAGAAATAGGTTGTCAGTGCGAGTCCGCAGCCTCGGGCTGTTGCTGTGAAACGTTCACTTTCTGTCCCACCTGGAGCCTCAGGCCCCTCTTCTGTGGAACCAGCTTCCAGTTTGGATTCAGGAGACAGACACCATCTCTACTTTCAA